CCCCTGGCCTGCGAAATACACGTAAATGTAATATATGTAGATATCCCAATAATGTTTAGGCTATATTTTTAGATAAATGCAACCTGGCATAAAGAACAACCCATAAACAATATTTTAATCTAAGTTTTGTGGTCTTTCTTTCAGCACAACCCTAGGATGATAGATCTAGATCTTTTTATGTACACTAAACTAGTAATTTATTTTGACAACGATTAATATTTGAGAATCAAATAATATAGCTTGACTTAGTGTGTTTTCAAATTTCATCTGGGCAAATACGGTGTTATTTTCACGTGGGTTTTTTTTGTTTTGCGCATTTCTCTCCCCTGGCCCCTGGCCAAAGAAAAAGTAGTATCGGGGCGAAAGTGTTGGGTGTCTCGTCGATACCATTGAAAGAAATAGTATCGATATGTAGATCTACACTTTTCGCTAAAGTTAAAGATCCCCAATAGGCCGACGACTTAAGATTTTGGGTGACTTTAGCAGGCCGACTTAGACCAGGCCATATTCTACAATTTTCCACATCCAAAGATCATACAGATCTAGATTTCTGTACTACACGATTGTTCAGTTTGCTAATAAGTATCAAAGACACGCTCATTCTTAGACAGATCTATAGGGTGATTTTGAGGATTAAAAAATTTCTCTAAGTAGAGGTTTAAAAGGCATTTCCCACAACCCGTCTCCCGTCATAAAAAGGGAGATGGGGGATTCCTTGTTGCGGAGGAGTTCAAAAAATGTTTTGTCCTTTCCTTCTTAAAAGTGCTGAATGTTACAGACATTATGGATTAAACTAAATACACAGAATCACTAAACGTTCAATACACCTGCGTATCAGCACGAAGCCTAGGCCTACATTACATTGGGGAAAAGGGGGGGGGGGGGTCCAGTGTGGAAAATGAAAGTTATCTGTGATCTGTGTTGCTAGTTATACCTATCCTACCACTTCTGTCTCTTTTCTCTTGCCGATTATTTCTCATGTAATGGAAAGACGAAAGCGAAACCTCTGTCGTAGAGTTGATATCTCTTGCGAAAACTAAGATTATGATTAATTGATCTTAAAAATCCTAACATTCCTCAATACTCGTATTTCCTCTAGATAAAATTTGCAATGCATGTTTATTAAAATTTAATGTAAAAATATTTTATATGAACTAGATCTACAATAAATTTCGAAAAGATCTGTTTGATAACAAAACAACAAAACATTATTATGTTAAAGTTGTTGATTATAAAGTGTATTCGTATAGCCTAGAGTAATTCGGAACCGAAGATTGTACGATCTTTGAGAATGAGAATGATTAGTATCGATATCGAACGAATGTTGAATGTTGACATCAATGGCGGTCCACACGTGTCTTTAGTCTAATTGTTCAGTGTGTTGATCACAAGTCACGATGGTAAGATTTGTTTTGTTTGAGAATAATATGATGTTATTGTAATTATGAGTTTTTGATCAATGCCTTAATGCTTTAATATTTTTCTCTGGCTCGTATTTTCTGTTTTGTCGAAGCAATCTTGGAGAGCTGTTGTGTTATCGACAAGAAAATCGACAACAGCAGGACTGACCGTCTGACGACACGATGCCGATGACATTCTTAATTCTTCATTCTTAGATTTCATTTGAAATATTTAAAATCTAGATCTAATTCAACCTTCCATATTTTACACTTACCCTACAAAGACATTGCATATTAAATGCAATATACAAATTAGTTTGTGGATGTTTCAATGATGCATTCGTTGGCCTTTGATTTGTAATCTCTTTAGTATAAGTCTTTAGTCTTTAGGAGGGAAGGACTTCTGTAACGAGCGACCACCCCATCAAACACAATATAAAGAAGAGGCCTAGACCTACCCCTACCCCTACCCCTACCCCTAACCCTAACCCTAACCCTAACCCTTACCCTTACCCTACCCTTGCCCCTTCCCCTACCCCTACCCCAAGCCCTCAATTCTGCTCTGTCTCATGAAAGTATGATGAAAGTGGCTATTCTAATTCTCACCCGCCCGAAAGTTCTCGCAAGATCTACTCCTCCCCTCTTCTCTCTCTCTCTCTGTCTCTTTCTGAATACTGTCTATCGGTGTGGACGATCAAATTGACCAAAACAAAGTTAAAAAATGATGTTAAAACACAAAAGTAAATTAATTTGGTTGTCTACAAAGATGCTACTACGGCTATTTAACTTTTCGAATCGAGCCGAACTATGCGGGTCGCCATTTTGTTTTGTTCTCTCTCTTTCTCTCTCTCACTCTCTCTCTCCACTGCCCACAGACAACATTGTACGCTTTTAGTAGGCTACAAGTACAGTTGTAATGGAACGTTTGTTCACAGCACAGAATTCTACAATTTTTCTGTTATCACAGTGTAGAATTCTGTGGTTTAGGGTGTTGAACGCAAAATTTGTTGGCCTAGATCTAGATCTAGGCTATAACGGTGAACGCGCACCGGGTGAAAATAGCCAAAAGACTCGCCTGCACTATTCTCACCCCGGGTGAGAATAGAGGTGACCCTGTCTCATAGTGGTCGCTCGTTACGGAAGTCCTCCCCTCTTTAGAGTTTTAAAGAGTAGAGACTTCGGTTTCCAAATTTTTGGAAGGCTAAGGACTTCCGTAACGAGCGACCACCCCATCAAACACAATAAAGAAGAGACCTAACCCTAACCCTATCCCGGGAGGACTTCCGTAACGAGCGACCACTATTTATTCAAGATTTGACTTGTTGAGCACCACAATACTTCTGAGAGACCTAAAGTAAGCCAACTACCTGGACAGGAAAAAATTACGGTCGTTTGCGCAGTTTTAGGCCCTGTTCAACGATTTGAAGATCTTAGTCGGAAATTAGTAGAATTTACTCGGGGCGCAGCCATTGATGATTGTTGACCCCGCATACTTTATCAGCTTCTCTTCGGGAGCGCTGGTTTGCCAGGTTTTCATCGGTTTCCAGCAAAATTCTCATCTCGATTAATCCTCCAATAAATAATGAGCGACCACTATGAAACAGGTAGAATAGAGAATTCAGAGTTAAGGGTAGGGGTAGGATTAAGGTTAGTGTTAGGGATAGGGCTAAGGTTAGAATTAGGTTAGGGGTAATACGAAACCGTTCACAATATAAAATCCCATGGGGGGGGGGGGT